AATTTTTTTTTTTTTTTTTTTTTTTTGTACCAGGGAATGGACTCACAACCTTGCATTTGCAAGGCAGGTATAGTAGCACTGAGCTAAATCCCTAGCCCTGCAATTTTAAGATATATAAAACATTTAGCTTTTTAGGCAAAGCACTATTAAAAAAAAAACCAAAAGTTTTTTGAGTGATAATAGTCACTAAAATTGCAAAACATTTTTAAGTGATTTCGTATTTTGAGGTATTAGAGTCTGAAATTGAGACAGGCATGAAAAACACATTTAATTGTCTGACTGTGGTTTTGGAATATTATTATTATTTTTTTAATATTATTGTGAATAGGGTTATACTAAGCCAAGTAAGCTTTGGAAGGGCCGTGCGTTTCCAATTTATTTATTTATTTTTATTTTATTTATTTATTTTTTTTTGGTACCAGGGATCGAATTTGGAACCTTGAGCTTGCAAGGCAGGCGGTTGAACCACTGAGCTAAATCCCTGGCCCTTCCAACGTAATTTCTGACCTTTAGCTCCAGCCAAGGCGAGTGGGACTCCTCTTAACAAACCAGCACTTGCAATATGTGAATTTTACTTTGGCTGTGTACTTTTGTTTCAGACAGAACCAGGTTGTGTTATTAGATACACTGGAACAAGAGATTTCAAAATTTAAAGAATGTCATTCAATGTTGGATATTAATGCTTTGGTAAGTACGATTTCATTGATATCAATCAGTGATGTGTTATTTTATTTATTTATTTATTGGTACCGGGGATCAAACTCGGATCAGTGATGTGTTATTTTAGAAATAGTTATGCTCTAATTTTTAAAATTTAGAATTGGTCTTTCAGACAGGAAACCTTGATTTACTTTACTAGAACTTCCCTATTCTTGAATTGTTATGTTTCAAATGTTGAACTCATCATGGAAGATGGAACTCATTTATGAGTCCAGATTAGATCTGCTCACAATTGGAGATAGAAAAGGGAACTTGGAGTAAGGAACTTTGGGTACTGCTTTTAGCGTTAAGCACAGCGTACTATCTCTTTCATCGTCAATGCAGGTTTTGTAAATTAACATTTTGTTTAATTGTGGCCTACTTGTAATGCTGTAGCAAGTTAATGCCATGGGTTGAAATGGATGCTTTGAGAATGATCAGTCATATCTTTTTTGTTTGTTTGTTTTTTGATTTTTTGAGACAGGGTCTCACTATGTTGTTGAGACTGACCTGGAACTCACTGTGTAGCCCAGGCTGGTCTCGAACTCACAGCAATCCTTCTGCCTCAGCCTCCTGAGCGCTGGGATTACAGGTGTGCGCCACCACACCCGGCCGATCAGTCATATCTTTCAGTACAAAAGTTGAGGAGTTAATTTTCATCAGGAGTTCTATAGCCTTTTGATGAGAGGAAGTGATACTCTTATTTTAAGAAGAGGGAATTAACAAAAATAAGGAACCTGTGGCTGCCTTTCTTTGGCCTCAAACTTTGGAAATGCCTTGGTCTGCGAGATTTCAGAGGGATTCACGCATACCTCAAAAGATGGGCTCTCGTCGGACAGCTGTGGTTTAGTCGCGTTTTCCTGTGTAACAGCGAGAAGCAGAGGCACGTCCTCCGGCAGTAACAGAGGCCTGTGGTGGCAGATGCAGTCCTGCTTGGCCGCTCCTGTGCGGCGGTGAGCGAGGCTGCCCTGACCCGCGTGTCCGCTGCGCTTATCCTGCAGGACAGCGGCTGTTTGATGAACGAATGATGAGTGTCGGGTGAATGCCCAGGCAGCTGTCATCCTGTTGCTGGATCCCCACATTCCGAGTCTCCCTCTTTTCTCCTCTCAGCCGTAACATGGTTTGGAAGCTGTCAACTCCTGAGTGTGGCGTTTTATGTCCCTGGTTCTGACGTGTCGTGTTTCTTCTGTCTCTGTTTCCCCCTGAATCTTCTCCCGGGGTGGGTGGGAGCCCTGCCCACTGCTTTCCTGACCGCGGACGTGCCACCTGCTCTGCCCGGGTCCTGGGTCTGCCTCTCTCTGTGAAGGCTGCGGAGTCTTGTTTCTTAAATGAAGCCAGTAGGGTGGGCAGTCTTGCTTAACTTTCAATGAACTTTCAGTTCTATCGCCTGTCTTTAAAGCCAGATGCTGTCTGTACCCAGTGTTCAGTAACTTTAGTCAGTCTGAACTGAATCGAATGTTTTTTTTTTTTTTGAGGGGTTTATATTTTATTGGAAACCTTAAATTTTCTTCAGACGCAGCACATCTTCATTTGAGGCTCTTGTGTGGCCTACACAAAAGCTGGCTCAGGGTTAGCGGCAGAGAGAAGGGCAGCGCAGAGGACAGGAACTCCCGGCGGGAGGCCCTCATGACGCACGCTCCTCCGTCGTTTTGTCATCTTCTGCGCGGCCTCTTCAGTGGCTCCCACCGTGTGGAAGGCCCGTTCTGGGGGTGGTCGTAGTCCCCTGCCAAAGTGGGCTGGAGTCCTCTGCTGGTCTCCTTCAGGGCTACCAGCTTCCCATACGCCCTGCGAAGACCTCAGCAACCTGGAGTGGCTGAGACAAGAAATGCTGCGTTTTCCGTACACGGATGCAGCCAGCTTGTCTTCTTCAGAAAATTCATCCACACCCAAGACCCAGTGATGTCCTGGAAGGATTTGTAGCCCTGAAGGATCTTTTGTACCCCACGGGCAACATCGTAATGCTCACTGCCAGGCACGCAGAGGCTCCGCGGCTGGATAGATCCCAGCTCAGCCGTGCACGGACCGCACAGTGGTGGCATCCGAAAGCCACGGTAGTGGTCGGCAGGCACATGGACAGCCCATGCGGGGGCGATCGACCCTTTCTTGGTGGTGGTGATGCTTCCCTGCACAGTACCCGTGTCAGTGGCCGGGGTAGGCTGATAGTGTGCAGCCGAAGGGATTCTGCTCAGTAAGGCGGACACCTCCGTACCAGCCTGGGTGAAGAGAGGTGTTATCGTTAGACCTTCTGGGTCTCTAAAGTATTCAGCCACAGTCGGTCCAGTCGGGGCTTCCCGGGCACGAGCACCAGGTGGCTCCTTCATTTGACCGACCGCACACCACCGCTACCTTCGAGGTAGCATCTTGTAGTTTTGATTACCCCAGATTCAGTCATTTCGGGGTATAGGTCACCGCCCTCACGGGTCCCCTCACCGACACTGGCAACGCAGAGTGGCCACCACGGGCTCTGGCAGCGTTGTGCGTTAGCTCCCCGATCGAAGCCGTCTTGCCATCTCCAGAACCTCCAAAGGACCCCACTCGTCTCCGAGGCAGGAAGATAACTGAGACTGAGGTCAGCCTGGTCCTTATGGCGAGTTCAAGGCAAGCCTGAACCACAGCGAGACCCTGTGTGGCCCTGGCTCAGAGGCTCCGTGTCCAGGTCGAGGGGACGATGAGGCCATTGGAGTAGGGTTCAGAGTGGGGTCCGTGGCCTTGCGCCGCGCTCTGCAGCACAGCGCTCTGGAGTTTGACATGCAGTGACGGCCTAGCCGACAGCGGCTGAGGGGAGAGACGAGGCAGCGCTCTGCGTGACCCTTCCGGAAGGTTCTCTGCCGGACGTAAAGCACGGCTGACTGCAGGGCTCTGGTCAGGAGGCCAGGAGGGCTGAGTCGAACCTTCTCAGATTTTGTATTTCAGAGTTTGCAATGTACACGTAGTTAGGGCTCTAGATGAATGGTCCATTGAGGGAGGCTGGACTTGAATGCAGGCACGGACAGAGGTGTCCGCTTGGACCTTTCAGTCTCCTCTCACTTGCCTTTCTGTCTCTTTCCCGAGTTCACGGAAGCTAAGCACTACCACGCCAAGCTGGTGAGCATAAGGAGGGACATGCTGCTGCTGCACGAGAAGACGTCCAAGCTGAAGGCGAGTCGGGCTCGAAGGCAGAGACGATCTTCAGTGTTCGATTCTTGACTGTTTATACCTTCCCATGCAAGAACACCCTTACACCACACTGTTTTCTTTAGAAAATGGTCTCGTGTGTGCCGGGTGCGTCTCCCAGAGGCCCCTGAACGCCAGGCCAGTGCTCTTCCACCGGCTGTAGCCACAGCCCCCAAATTTTCATTCCTTTTGACCCTGTCTTGAGCTTCTTTACCAAGAGCCTGGAGTGCAGCTGGGCCTGTGGCCACACCTGTAACCCCGGCACTGGGAGGAAAGGGAGCCGGGGAAGGGGGAAAGGAGGGTTGCGGGGAGAGGGCTGGAGAAGCAAAAAGAATTTTAAAAAATTGAGGGGACCTTAAATTATCAAGAATGAATTTAGAAACATAAATGTGAAATTTTGGGACAGGTACTGATGACCTTGAAGCATTTTTACTTGAACGAGGCCATAACTTTTGTTTTTTGTTTTGGGTTTTTTTTTTTTTTTTTTTCCATGACACAGAAGAGAGCACTTAAACTACAGCAGAAGAGGCAAAAAGAAGAGTTGGAAAGGGAGCAGCAGCGGGAGAAGGAGTTCGAGAGAGAGAAGCAGCTGACAGCCAAACCAGCTAAGAGGGCCTGAGGAGCCGCGTGCCTGGCGTCCTGGGCCGGCCTGGGTGGGTGCAGACGGAGTCGGTCCTCCAGTGTGTCTGGGATCCTCTTCCTGGAGTCTTCGGTTCCGCCGTTCAGGAAGCCTTTCCTCTGAGCAGCAGATACCGTGTCCCTTGGTTTTGATATTTATATGTAATTTTTCAACTTTACTTTCTTCATTATAAAATTGATCATTTTGGCCTTGAGTTGTGCATAAACTGGAAAACTGATTATCACAAGTGTGGGCTGAGTCGTCAAAGTCCGTATGAATTTTTAACTTGTGAGTGTAACGTAAACGTTTTGCTTTCTTGCCTTATAAATTGACCCCCTTTCTGGCAGCTCTTTGGCAGTCACCTCCTGCTTATCCGGAAGCCGTGGACCCTGTTGCCCTCACCCGCCAGTAACTGCAGAGCAGCAGGACGCCGGGGGTCCGTGCCATTTTCTGTGTCGCTGCTCACCTCCGCCCGGCCGCAGAGGGATCAGAGTTCCTGGAGTTGGCTCTCCTCACACCCTGGGACCGAGTCACACTCATGGCCCACTGAGGGACAGTTCTCGTGGTTGTAAAAGAGTGAAGCGAAACGGTCACCTGCTCTAGAGTTAACCCCGGGTTGGTGCGGTGCTGGTTGGTAGCTTCCTGACAGGCTGACACCTTTGTGTTTCTGGGTTTTTCCTGACGTTCTGTGTAGGAACTCAGCATGTGAGGGAAAGAGGAAGTTTCACTGTTGTAAATCAAGAGTGCGTTGCTCTCTCTTATTTAGTCTTGTTTCTTATTCAACTGGGCCTCAGTCTGTTAGGCAGGACTGTGAGGTTTGTCACTAGACTCTGTCCTTGGTTCACGCGTACGCTGGGATCACACAGCGAGCGGGCCAGTGCTGGAGGAAGCATTTGGTCTCTGTAGGGGTTCAAAGGATTCCTTTGAAAGAGTCGCTTCCTTTAGTGAATGGCTTATAGCCTCACAGTTCCCTTGACTTAGACCTTATGTCTCAGAATAACAGCAGATTTTACTGACGGGGCTGCGGTCACCTCCAGGCCTCGCTGAGCTGGCGGGCAGGGTCTGTAGGGTGTGCGGGATGCCGCCGCCCGCATCGCCGAGCTGCTGTCCCGTCGCTTGGTGCTTCTGTGCCAGGTGTGACTTCCCGGGCGCCACTCCACCTGTTGAACCGCACTTGTGTGTTCGTCGCATTTTGTGTTTTTCTAGTCTCCCCTCTGGGGCACTTCAAAGACGAGATCTGCGTCTCAGCCTAGCGGCCCCTAACACCCAGGAACCTGAGCCGAGGCGCGGCTGGGCCACATGGTGGGGCCCGTGTGTCTTCGGGGTGCGTCTTGGAACCCAGATACCAGAGCCACTGGTGCCCACCAGCTCATCTCGTGCTTCGGGGGTGGAGGCCTGGCATAGGCCGGGCTGTAGGGTGAATCTTTCGAAGTGAGTCCTGGTACACAATCAGATTTAAGACAGCCCCAGCAGGCCGACTTCCGGTTAATTAGACTTTGTGATTTGTGTTAAAATAAATCGTGTTTATTGGATGAGTGGTAAGGCACATATACTTTCATAATTATATTCAAATTTTAAGACTTTAAAAAAATGTCACAACAAATGTATATATACTATTTTAAGGTCGGTAGTAAGTCAGAAGTGTGACATTATCTTAATTAAAATTGAAAACTTGAGCTGTATTTCAGTAACTGATACGTGTCTTCCTAACTAATCCTGGAACCCTTGTGATTAGTCTTGCTCTATTTTTCACAGAGTAGGCACTTGGTTAAAACAAAGTCACCTTTCTTTTGAAACTATATCAAACATATACTGAACTATAAAATAATGGTAGTTTGTTTTGTGTTCACTTTGCAGAGAGTACCTTGTAAACATGCAGACACTGAATGTAATAAAGATTGCGTCCGTGATGAGTTTTGAGTGAATGTAGTTTATACCAGTTGCATACACCATACGTTTGTCTGATTTCAAACTTGTAAATTGAGGACTTTTTACACATTTAATTAAAAAAGTCTCGAATTTTCCCGTGTCATTTATCAAATACCACTCAGCCAGTGTCTTTTCTGTTTTTCAAACGTTCCATGTTTTTTGGCTTTCCTCTTTTCTCTTCTTCCTCTCAATGTGCCACATGTATTGTTCACAGGATCAGCAGCCCATTCCTGGCATCTCTTCCGGAAAGGTGATGGAAAATGTTGTGAAATACCAGTTGAGATGACCTAATTTCTTAAAGTTCTTCACTGGTCTTGAAAAATAAAAAATAACAGTTGTTGTTTTTTGGTGGTTTGGTAGAAAGTGCTTCAGGGGTGTTGCTGCACGAATACTATAGCTTTTAAAAACTGGAAATTTCCAACTAATAGAATATTTTAAATTAGGTTTAAAAATTTTTAAAGCCGGGAGTGAGCGCTTGAGAGAGGTAATGGAACGGTGTTTGGAAAGGACGTGGATTCTCAGAACTTTCCGCGGAGGTGTGCGCATGTGTATTTCTAGGATTGGGCCTGGATTCCAGCAGATTCATCCGTGAGTGTATGCATGCACACACGCATACGGATCGACATTTGTAAACCTCCAAAGCAGTGTTTTTCGGGGGAGGGTCCTGGGAACCGAAACACACACACACTTTCCTGCTGAGCCGTGTGTTTCAGCTCCAAAGCAGTGACTCGTAACCATTCACGCTCCAGATATCACTGTGCTCATCTTAAGAAAGTGACATAGTTTCCAGATTTTTCTTTCGGATGAAGAGAGGCCGTATATTACGTGTTTGTCGTGGTAACCAGATAATTCAGCTGTCTCACTGCCAGCTCGGCCCTGCTCTTTTATCCGGTTTGTAGGTATGAAGTCTGCTGCCATCTGCCCTTTAGGTGAGCGTTTGGGGGAGGCTGGGTCGATTTTCAAAGCCGTTGGAGCTGGGTGAGCAGCTGAGGGAGACACTTCAGCTGACTAACATAGAAAGCACTTAAAAGCAAACACTGCACAGAAGCTCACTGAAGGAGCGACACTCGAAGAGAAGACGGTAAAATTCGGGATGTGGCGGGCGTCATCCGAGGAAGAAGGAGAGGCAGCACCAAAGTGGAGCCAGGGGAGTGTAGCTGTGAGGTGTGTTCCCTAAGAAGGGAGGCTCAGGCGTTTGGAGAACGAGCTGCAGCTCACTACGCCAGGACAGAGACAGTAAGAGGTTGCCCTGCTGTCGCTTCATGGTGAGCGGAAGGAAAGGAAGCTGTCTATTCTGTTCAGGCGCCGAGTAGCCCAAGGTCTCCCAGGAAGTCTGCAGCACCCAGATGTGGACAGAGCCTGCGCTGGGAGGTCGTTCTGAGCATGCACGGCCGCCACCATGCCTCTTTAGGCCTGGCTATTATTTGTCCGTTAGAAAAAGTAGTGAAAAAGTACAAGGGAATACTAGGAGACAAGCATGTCTAGATCCGAACGTTCCCAGCCTCTGCTTGGATCGTAGCATTTTAACATTCCAAGCGTATAGGGTTGCGTGCACAGTGGTTAGGACTGCGGACTACGAGGCCAGACTGCTTTGGTGGTTTTCTCGCTTAACTCGGCGTGCTGGACACATTGCTTACACTCTGTGTAAGCTTTGGTTTCAGAAACACTAAGGTTAGGACAGTCGGTGTCATGCTTTGCAGGGTTGTGGAGTTTCCTGCTGTTTATACGGAAGCCCTGGATGTGCCTGGGTACCTTGAAGTCACTTGTGCACCAGGGGAGGGCACTGATTTACCACTTTTCTCACAGCTGTTTTTGCTCATGGGGTTTCCTCTGCCTAGAGCCCTTCATCCCGTTCACTCTTTGTAAGTCAGGTGTCACCTTTTTATGGCTTCTATCACCACTCCCAGAGTTTCTCTTCAGTGCTTTGCCTCAGCATTCAACAGTAGGACGTATTGATCGGTGTTTCATTCCGGCCTCTAGGTGGCATGTTAGGTTTCTCCAGAGAAACAACCAATAGGATGTATTTCCAAATTTACCTATGGGGAGAGGTGCGTGCATATACAGGTACAGGGAGAGAGAACTGAGGGCGTGGGCTTACATGTCGTGGGGCTGGCAAATCAAACTTTCAGGGCAGGGAGGCGTCCGTGTCGAAAGGCAGGCAGAATTCCCTTTTCCTTGGGGGCTCTGTCTGCTTCAGGAGAATGAGGATAAGGCCCCTCCGCCTTCCCCGAGGAGTACCGAGTTTCTGAGTCGGGGAACCTGGTGAGTCTGGGCATGGAGTCTCTAGAAAGCCTAAGTCCCAGCACACTTAGGAAGCCAGGGGAGCGGAGGGCACCAGGCGTTGCCGAGCCTCGAGGGCAGGAGACTCTGGAGTGAGGGGTGGGCTGTGGTCACCAATGTGCAGGCCCACGCCCACCCGGACATGACCCTGCAGTGATGTTTTTTCCTCTTGGTGCTGGGGATGGAACCCAGGGCCTCACACCAGGGAAGGGGCTGCACCACTGAGCTACCCCACTGCCCTTCAGGTGGGCTGTGGACCAGAGAGAGTGGGGGATGGAGATACAGCCAGGTGCTTGGAGACCTGGAGCGAATGAGGAATAGGGCCTCGGGAGCTTCCTGTGAGGACAGCTCGTCAGGAGCTCCGGCCACCAGCTCCTTCCTCTGAGTGAGTCCGAGAGAAGTAAGTCTGTGGCCCTTTTCTGTTCATAGTTTCTTTCCCTAAAACTCTACAGTAGCATCAAATATCTTAAGTCTCACGGCTCTGCCAGACGCCATGGGGTTAACCTCACAGTTGGCTTAGAACTGGATCTAGGAAGAGCGATAACGCATACATTAAGCATGGCTCTAACAACAAAAAACTGGGCTATATAAATGTCAGCTAATGAATATAATAATAAAATTCTTACAATTCAGTCATGGCTCATGAGCTTGTAATCTTTGGATAAACCAGGCCACTGTTTCTATGCCTAATTACATATTTAAGGCCAAAAAAAGTAATGGTGGGAACAGGTCCCATGATCTAGAGAATCAAAGGAGCTCAGAGTTAGTGTACTTAAGGACAGAAAAACAGATGCCACATTGTTCTGTCCAGAGTTACACCTTCTTTGTTGCCCAGGGATTGCCCAGATCTCTTAAAATAGCTTCTGATGCCGGGGAGGTGGCACATGTCCTTGTAATCCCAGCTACTTAGGGGGCTGAGGCAGGAGGATTGCAAGTTTTGAGTCCAGGCTGGACAATTTATTTATTTATTTATTTAATTTAATTTAATTTTTTTTTTTTTTTTGAGACAGGGTCTCACTATGTAGTTGAGACTGACCTGGAACTCACTATGTAGCCCAGGCTGGTCTCGAACTCACAGTGATTCTTCTGCCTCAGCCTCCCCAGTACTGGGATTATAGAAGTGCGCCACCATGCCCAGCAAGGCTGGACAATTTAATGAGACTCTGTTTAAAAAAAGAAAAAGAAAAGTTCAAGATAGGCATGGTGGTGCATGTCTGTAATCCAGCACTGGGGAGGCTGAGGCAAGAGTATCACTAGGAGTTCAAGGCCAGCCTGAGATACGTAAGAAGACTCTGTCTCAAAAAAAAAAAGAAGAAAAGAAAAGAAAAAAAGAAGTCTGGATGTATGTCAGTGATAGAGATTCCTGGGCTTGATCCTCAGTATGTGGGAACATTTTAAAAAAGCTTCAGAGAAGAGGCAAGCAGTTGGTAGGGCGCACAAGTCCAACAGACAATCAGATTTGTAAGCAACTAGATGAAGCGTAGGTGGAAAAATGCTGCCATCTCGTGGTCCTCTTTGCTCCCTGCACCCGGGATTCAAACCCTATGTGCAGTGTATATATCCTCTCGGCTGCTGCTGAGGTATTTGGCTAGGCTTTTTAGCTGCAGTTTTTAAGATGACCTTTTGCTTAAACGGTGAGATGTTTGCAAGTGATCTGCGTGGTAGGGTTAAAACTACATTTTTCTAAGGATGCCACGTTGGCGCTCCTGTATTTCCTTGCCTGCGATTCCAGGAATTCAAGGGCAACCGGCACCCAAATTGAGGGCCGCTGTCGGTCACACACTTGTTTTCATCGTTTCCTGGTGTTTCCTTTATTTCAGCCAACTTTATTATCATGTCTGGCCGGACTTACAGTTCCAGGTCGACTTTCAGCTCACCTGTAACCCCAAATTCAGAGCCCTTGCTCAGTCGAGCGTGTGTTACACACCAGGCGCTGTGCACTTGCCTGCAGCCAGCTGCTTTAGGGGGTAGCGGCTGTGACGCCAGTGAGGGAGCGGAGACCACTGGGTCTGAGTAACCGCTCACACCGACGGGCAGGTGGGGCCAGGGTTTCATCCTGGGAAAACCCCAAACTCCCATCCCAGGGATGTCTCCGTACACGGGAGACGGCGGAGACGGAAGCCGACCTCAGGGTTTCAGGTCCAACATCATGGCATACTCTGCGTGCCACGGTGGGAAATTGTAAGCCCTTTTCGCCCGGGGATCCCCTGAATCCGGTCGGATGTTCAAGAACAGACTGGGAGGAGGCAGGCGCGCCCCCTGCAGGTAAGGATGCACAGAACAGCTCCTCCAGCTCTTCCCTCCTTTCCGGTTCTGCCTTCCGTTGGGATTGAACTCTGGACCTTTCCACAGGAAGCCACACCTCCAGACCTTTTTATTTATTTATTTTTATTTTGAGGCCACTAAATTGCCTAGGCTGGTCTTGAACTTGGAACCCTCCCAGAATGCTGAAGTTACAGGAGTGCCACCATGCCTGGCTCAGAGCACCTCTTTGATTTTTCTGCAAGGCTGCTTTAATTCTAGACAGATCCCAAAGCTCCACACCTCTCAGTATTGAATCAAGCAAAGCTAAAACCGACTCTGGGTGAGATTCGGCCCCGCAGGGTCCCCAGGCGTGATAATCTTCCTGCTTTGCTGTGGTGTGGTGGACCAATCGCGAACACTTCGAGTTAGCAACACAGAATTTGTTCCCGAGGCTGCTGAATCTGGAGAAGGGTGACCAGGTCTCCAGTCCGACTCCCTGCGGCAGGGCTGTGGGGAGGTACGGGTGAGGTGTGGGGAAAGCTGATGGGAGGGTCTGAAAGTCATCCGGAGTAAATTCAGAAGCAAGTAACAGAGCAGGTGGGGTCCAGAAGCTCTGATCCGGTGGATCATCCTGGTCTTCCCTTGGTTTCAGAAGCGACGCTGGAGAAGCCAGCAATTCCAGAATGGCCGGGGCACATCCATTAAGAGTCGCTTTCCTGTTTGGGTGGAAAGTGTGGTAAGAGGGAGGGACGCGGAGAGGCGCAGGTGAGTCCCCGGCTTCTGGCCACACCGAGGTGCTGACCAGACTGTCGTCCCCACCCGGTCTTTACTCTTGCATTCACTGCAGGGGTCTGGGATCGTGGTTCTGTGGGAGGTGGCATCTTTTGCGCCCAGGGGGAAGTGGGTGGTGGTTAGCATCAGTAACGGCCAGCAGACTTTTAGGCAAAGGGCTCAACTAAATATTTTGGGCTTTCTGGAGCGTTGTGTACAGTTACAGCTGCTCAACTAGGCAGTTGTAGCACCGAAGCCGTGGTGTGCAGCACTGAAAACAAAGAGTGGCTGTGTTAAGTAAAACTCTACAGAAACAGGTGCCTGCCTGGGTTTGGCTTATGGGCCATTATCCCCTAATGCCTGATGCACAGAACCAGAAACAAAGCAAAACAGAAACCAGGGGGAACTGGATCCGCAGGAGATGAGGGCAGTCACTTCAGGCAGGACTGCTAGTTCCCAGACCCGAGCCAGTTCTCAGATCGGGAGCCCACGACTGAAGAGGGGCTAGAGGGCAAGCCTGCCGCCCTGCCGCACGGTGACAGGTACACGCTGTGCTTCTCCTTCTGCTGGGCCCCTGGGGCAGCACTCGCCTCCCTCCCACGATGGACCTCCTCTGCTCTTGTCTCACCTCTCCTGAACATTGCTCAGATTCGATTGTTTGATTGTGGTAAAATGCACATAACACTTAACATCTTAACCATGTTTTAAGTGTATTCAGTGGCATTAAATATATACATAATGTTGTGCAACCGTTGCCACCCAAACTCTTTATATCTTGTAAAACTGAAACTCCATAACCGTAACATAATTAGTGGGATTGAACTGCACCCTGCAGATTACGTTGGGTTGTAGGGACATCTGAATTATATAAAGCTTCCAATTCATGAACATGGGGTGCGTTTCCATTTATTTATGGCTTTGTTTAGTTTCTTTCAGTAGTACTTTGTAGTTTCTTCTATGCGGGTCTTTTACTTTCTCGATCATTTACTAAGGAGACTCGTCCCATGATGGGTACAGAGGACAAGTTCTAGGATCCCTTCCAGCTCGGGTCCTTTACACAAGACAATATTTGCATATAACCTATGACAACCTCCTGTATACTTAAATCTCTACATGACTAGCAATGCCTAGTGCAGTGTCAATGCTAAATAAATAGTAGTCATATCCTATTGTTTAGAGAATAACGACAAAGGAAAATGGTCTGAGTGTGTTCAGTACAGGTGCAACCCCCCCCCACGTTTCTTTCTTTTCTTTCTAGTCTGCTATTGGTTGAATCTATGAGCAGGGCACATGGACATGGAGGGCCAACTGCATTTGATTCCTTTTGATGCTGTCCTAAAGTGGACTTATTTTTATAATTTCATTTTCAGATTATTTATTGTTTGTGGATAGAGATGCCACTGATCTGTGTGTTGACGTTATATCCTGCTGGATTGCTGAATTCATTTATCGGTTCTAACAGTATGTGTGTGTGTGATCTTTAGAGTTTTCTACATTTTGATCACATCTAGAAACAGATAGTTTTACTCCTGCTTTTCCCTAATCTGGATACCTTTTATTATCTTTTCTTGCCTCACTGCTCTGGCTATAGTTTCTAGCACCATGCTGAAGAGGAATGGTAAAAGTCAACATCCTTGTCTGGTTCTTGATATCAGAGGAAAAGTTTTTATTTATTTATTTTTCTATTACTGTGACTCTTCTTTTTTTCTTTTTGTGGTACCAGGGATCCAACTCCAGACCTTGCACTTGAGGTCTCAGCTGTGACCGGAGACAAAATGGAGTTATGTTTTGGCGCGGTATAGCCGGCCTTCAAGCAAGAAGATGAGGCCTTGTACAGCCCTAATCATAATTTAATTGTGAAATGATTTTTCCCCCAAATTATGTAGTATAGCCGGCCTTCAAGCAAGAAGATGAGGCCTTGTATAGTCCTAATCATAATTTAATTGTGAAATGATTTTTCCCCCAAATTATGTAGAATGGCTCCTGACAGATGTCAAATTTTATGGAATATTTTTTCCTTTTCTTCCTTTTTTTCTTCTTTTCATTTTGTTTTTTGAAGCAGGGTCTCCCTAAGCAGTGCGGGCATGCTCCAGCAAACCCAAATGATCTTTCTACATCAATTGAGCTGATCATTGTTCTCCTTCAGACGGTTAATGTATTGTATTACATTAATTTATTTTTGTATGTTGAGCCATCCTTACATTCCAGGAATAAATGGCATTTCATCATAATGTACAATCCTTTTATATGCTGCTGAATTTAATTTGCTAGTATTTTGTTGAGAATTTTTGCATCAATTTTCATAAAAGATATTGGCCTCTGGTTTTCTTGTAGTTTCTTTGTTTGGCTTTGTCGTTAGGGTAATGCTGGCCTCATGGAATGAGTTAAGAAGTGTTTCTTCCTGTTCAGTTTTTTTTGCAAAAGTTTGAGAAATTCTGGAGATATTCATTTAAATGTTTGGCAGAATTCACGTGGAAGTCATCTGGTCTAGGGCTTTTCTTTGCCAGGAGATTTAAAATTACTGATGCGGTGTCCTTGTTACCAGTCTATTTAGATATTCTATTTCTTTATAATTTATTCCTGGTGTTTTGTTTTTTGTTTTTTTTTTGGTACTGGGGATCGAACTCAGGACCTTACACTTGTGAGGCAGGTGGTAGGGTGGGTTTTGTGTTTCTAGGAATTTGCTATTTCCTCTAAGTTATCAATTTTGGGTTTTTTTTGTTTTTGTTTTTGTTTTTTGTTTTTTGAGACAGGGTCTCACTGTGCAGTTGAGACTGACCTGGAACTGACTGTGTAGCCCAGGCTGGTCTTGAACTCACAGCGATCCTGCTGCCTCAGCCTCCCGAGTGCTGGGATTACAGGCATGCGCCACCACACCTGGCTTATCAGTTTTGTTTTAACTGTAATTTTTCACAGCATTCTCATAGTCTTGTATTTTGTAGAATGTTACGTCTTACTTTCATTTTTTAAAATTTTAATAATTTGAATGTTCTCTCTCTTTTGAGGTGGGATCTTATGTTACTGAGGTTGGCCTTGGACTCATCATGAGCCTCCTGCCTCATCCTCCCAAGTAGCTAAGATTACAGGAGTACAGTACTGGCTTTCTCTTTTTCGTAATCCATCTAGCTAAAGGTTTTTCAATTTTGTTTTGACCTCTTCAAGAAACTTACTGTTATGGTTTGGATGTAAAATGTCTCATGCATTCAGAGTTTGGTCCTGGTTGGAAGAGGCAGGTCCCTGGGCTGAGACTTGGAAGGATATATCATTCTTTCTCTCTGCTTCCCGGCTGCCATGAGGTGAGCATCTTTCCTCCGCCAGGCCCTTCTGCTATACCATTTCTGCCTTGGAACCACAACCATTGGATGAACCCAGTGAAACCATGAGCCAAAGTAAATCTCTCCTCCTTTAAGTTGCAGATATTTTATCCCAGTGACAGAGCAAGTGGCTAATACACTGACCTTTGACTCAAGTGATTTTTCTCTATTTCTTTTTAAATTTTATTTTTTTCTCTAATCTTTATTATTTTTTTCCTCCTGCTAGCTTTGGATTTAGTTTATTATTTTTCTAGTTCCTTAAATTATGAAGTTAGTTTGCCGAATTGAGATCTTGGGTTTTTTTAATGATAAAAAGTCATGGTTATCTGTAATCCAAGTAATAACATAAAAAATTCTTGAATTCTGTCATATAGCAATTTTGACTAAGAGAAACTGAAAGAAGTTCAAACAAATATACCAGTGTTCATTACTCTTACCCTTTGCCAGAAAGGGTCACTTGAAGGTTGGCTCCTCTTTTACACATCAGAAAGAATTACTACTTTTTCAATGAACACCCTGAACCTTAAGAAAGTAGAAAAGAACAGTATTTATTCCCTTTCTTTCTTCAAATTTGTTTTCTGCTACATCTAAGAATGAAAAAGTTGGTGTTGACACTCTTGTTACTTGAATTAAAAGACATAGGAAAACAGATGACAAGTACGCATTAAATTTCTAAGAAATATGAAGTGAAAAGATGAAATCTTGGGCTGGGGATAGAGCTCAGTGGCAGAGCACTTGCCTGGCGTACAAGAGCCCTTGAGTTTGATCCACAGCACTGCAAAACAAAACAAAAGAAAACAATGAGGGCCGGGGGCGGGATTTAGCTCAGTGGTGTTGCACCTGCCTCGCAAGCGCAAGGTCCCAAGTTTGATTCCCAGCACCCCACAAAGAAAAACAATGAAATATCTGGATAAATACAAGTCTGTCTGAAGAAGCTCCACCTTACGTTCTTTAAAAAGTGATGTGCCCTATTCTATAACATGCACAGTAATTTAATGCTTTTCATGAGCATACAACCTGAGTTTTGTTATTGCTTCATAGTTCATGAGGGCATCAAAAATGCAAATTCATGAAACAGGCTTTTCTCTTTCTAGCCGCATACGCGGTAGTTTCCATGGACTTCTGGCTGGATGTCACAGGACCTCACCGCTGTTCTCCCCGGAGCAGGTCTGGAACATGGTCACCTGCCGCGGGTCTGCTTCTCCACTTCCAGGCTGCGGCAGCTGCGGCGGGCGGGGCCCAGGACTGCAGCTCTGTTAGCTTTTCCTCTGCACACGGTACTGCTCCGTGTCAGCCCGGCTTCTTTTGGGGCCTGCTTCAGCCTCTGGATCTTTTGCTTGCTGTCTTGGACGCAGCTGGGAAGCTGCTGCTCAGCCTGCAGCTGCTGGGTGTCCTGGTGGCAGCAGCTGGGCAAGTGGCGGAAGATGGCCGGATGCCCCCTGGGGTCAGCTGAGCTGGCTGCTCCTCATCTTTTCATGCAAATTTCCCCCTTCCCACCGCTGTTGCTGTGTCCCATAAAGTTCGAAGTGTTGTGCTTTCGTTTTCTTCTGTCTCTACTTTCCCTTGTGATTTCTTTACCCACCGGTTGTTTAACAGTATGTTATTTAATCTGCACAATTTTGTGAGTTTTCAGTTTTATTTGTGTTGTTGATTTCTAGCTTTGTCCCGTTTTGGTCACAGGAGAGAATTTGTTTGATAACTAACAAAAATCTATGGAGACTGAGGGGTTCACATGTCCCGGGAAATCTAACATGTACACTTGAGAAGAATGTGTGCTATTGTTATGAGCTGTTCTGTAAAAACCAGTTGGTTCATTTCTAAGCCCTGCATTTCCTTATTTGTCTTCTGTCTGGTTGCTCCTTTCGTGTTAGGAGTGTGTAACTGAAGTGTCTAATTACTATCTTGGAGGTATCTATTTCTCCTTTCCACTCTGTAAGGTTTTGCTTCATATATTTGATGGTCTATCGTTAGGTACACAAATGTTAATAATTGCTGTTTTTTTGTTGTATTGAGCCTTCTATATTAATACATAACATCCTTCTTTTCTCTTGCACTCTTTTGATTTAAAATTCATTTGGTCTGTGTTAGCATAGCCATGCCTGATCTTTTGGGTTACTATTCACATGGAATATTTTTTCCATACTTTCACTTTTAATCCATTTGTTGATCCATCTTTTGATCTAAACCGAGTCTCTTTAAGACAGCATCTAGTTGGGTCATGTGTTTCAAATTCATTCTGCCACTGGGTCGTTTCAGTGGAGAGTTTAATTCAATATTGAATTTTCAGTATTTACTGATAAGCACGGACTTCTCTCATGTTATTTGTTTTCTCTGTGCCTCATAGCTGTTGGTCTCTTCCTGCATTACCAGTCTTCTTTCTGCTTAGTTGTTTTTTGTAGTAAAAGTGCTCGGATTTCTTTCTCACTCCTTTTTGCATATAATCTGTAGGTATTTTCTTTGTGGCTGCTATGGGTATTGCATTTGACAACCTGAAGTCATAACACTCCAATCTGCATTTAATAACAGTAAAAATCCTGCTCCGCCAACAGCTGGTTCTTCACCTCTCTTGGTTATTGATATCACACATGTACATCTCTATACACTTTGTGTCGCAGTATGAATTCACAATTCTTTTAAATGCATTAGTCTCTTTAATTATGTAGAAACAAAATGTGGAATTATAAACCAAAGTGGTACTAATACTAATCTTCAGACTAATAATTTTTTTTTTTTTTTTTTTTTTT